AGTCTTTCTTCCTTAGAGAGCTCATCAATACCACCAGAGCCACCAGCTAATTGCAGGCCCGAATGCGTGCCTAGTACTAGGTACTACTCACTGTCTAGGCTAGCATGAGTCACAATGTGTCTCTGATAAGAAAACAAAGACAGCAAATGTACAGAGTGGGCCATTTAAAATAATGATGATTGCAAAGACTGTCTGCAGCCAGTTCTAGCCAGGGTTCTCGTAAGTTCCCTGGATTCCCAAACTGAAAAGCCTGGTTTGCTTCAGGCCTTTTTGCTATTACGTTTTTTTGCTTCTTCAGAACTTATCTTTTTTCTCTCTTCCTTCCTCCTCTCTTTCTGTCTTTTTCTTTCTCTCTCTCTCTCTCTCTCTCCCCCCTGGTACAGGGTTTCTCTGTGTAGCTTTTGGAGCCTGTCCTGGAACTCACTTTGTAGACCAGGCTGGCCTGGAACTCACAGAGATTTACCTGCCTCTGCCCCCTGAGTGCTAGGATTAAAGGTGTGTGCCACCACTGCCAAGCCCTCCTGTCTCTGTTGTTTGGCTGGAGACAAGGTTTCATTAGCCGAAATTTGCATACCCTGTCCCCAGTTTGGCCTCCAACTCTTTGTCTCTCTTGGTTTTTGGAGTCACAGTCTCACTGTAAGGGCTTGGATGGCCTAGAATCAGAAATATATGTCAGGCTGGCCTTGAACTTGTAGCACACTATCTGCCTTTTCTGTCTCTAGCTTCCAGGTGCTAGCAATACAGGGATTCATTGCCACCTAGCCTGCAAAGCTCTTTAAGAACTGTGTGTGAGAGAGAGAGTGAGAGAGAGAGAGAGATTGAATTCTAGCACTCCAGAGGTGTGGATTCTGGAAGATGTAGGCCTGGGAGAAGACCTCTAACCCCAGCACTCTGGGGGAGAAAGTGGGATCACCACAAACTGTAGAAAAGAAAGCCTGGGCTACAGAGGGAGACCTTTGTCTTAAAAAGAAAGGAAACAAGTTTGAATGCTGATCCACATCATCAGCTTCTCTCCACCCCTTGAGTGAGTGAGTTAGGTGTGGTCTGGTGCCAGATACCCTACACAGCTGTCAGAATCTTCGTCAGAGCTTGCTTTACAAGGATGAGTAATGTAGTCTCTCCCTTCCAGGAAGTGTCTTTGGTCTTGAAGCTTTCTTCTCTCCAGTCTCCCCGCTTTTTTTCCTTTAGATTGCATTTATTTATTTTTGGGGGACAGAAGCCACTGTGTGTGTATGTAGGTTAGATGGCAAGAGGGCAGCTTTTTGGGAATTACATTTATTTATTTTGTGGGGGATACAGGTCACTCTCGTGTTTGTGTGTGTGTGTGTGTGTGTGTAGGTGAGAGGGCAGTTTTTGAGAACTGGGAGTCCTCTTACTGAGTGGATTCCTGATATTGAGCTCATGTATTCACACTTGTCTGGCAGTGGTTATCCCGAGAAGAACCATCTCCCTGTCCAGATTTTTTAATTTTTTCTCTTGAGACAGGGATTCTCAAGGATTCTGTGTTAACACCTCTGGCTGTCTCAGAACTTGCTTTGTAGACCAGGCTGGCCTTAAACTCAGAGATCCACCTGCCTTGGCCTCCCGAGTGCTGAGATTAAAAACCTTCACCACTATCGCCTGGCTCCCTTTCCAGATTTTGTTATTTGTTTTAATACTTCCAGTGCTCTGCCTTTAATCCCAACACTTGGGAGACAGAGATTGGCAACCTCTGTAAATTCAAGAACAGCCTGATCTACAAAGTATGTTCCAGGCCAGCCAGGACTACACAGGCAGACACTGTTCCAATAATAATAATAATAATAATAATAATAATAATAATAATAAAATAGCCAGGTGGTGGTGGCACAGGCTTTTAAACCAAGCAGGAAGGCAGATCTCTGAGGGTGAGGCCAGCCTGGTCTACAGAAAGAGTTCCAGAACAGTCAGGACTACACAGAGAAACCCTGTCTCAGAAAAACAATAAAATTTTATGCATGTATATATTATATGTAATTATTTTAGAAAGTCTGTAGTCCAGGCTAATACTGAACTTAGGACCCTTCCATTTCTGCCACTACCCAGTATAAAGTTGGGGTAGCAGTTGTGTTCTACCAGACTGGTTCTGCCTTCAAAAAAAAAGTACTGAGTGTATAAAGTGAGTGCTGAGTGTATAAAGATGCTTCCTGTGGACAACACAAGCGTAAGGAGAGCTGACTCAACACCCACCTCCTATAGGAATAAAAGCAAGGGCCCTCTCCATTGATGGTCCAGTACTTTAGTCCCCCCACTGGAAGGGAGTAAGGGAGATTGCTGTTTCTAGGCCAGTAAAAAAAAGGCCAGGGGTGGTGGTGGTGAATGCTTTAAACCCTGCAGGCAGATCTCTGAGTTCAAGGCCAGCTCTAGTCTACATGAGGTAGTTCCAGGGCTACACAAAGAAACCACATCTCGAGGGGGGATAAAAAGATTTTGTAGAGAATTATATTAAAAAAAAAATTTGAAGCCCAGGCTGGCCTCAATCTTTCAGGAACCCCAGTGCCTCATCCCAAGTAAAGAATTACAGGAATACCCACAATGTGTAGCTTATAGAGGGCTTTAGCTTTGTGATCTTGGGCATGTTACTTCCCAGCTTAAAATTCTTCTCCTTAAAACACAATTTCTGATAATTAACGTTCTTTTTTTTTCTAAATCTTAATCTTCGTTGTTTTGAGACAGGGTCTTTCTGCATAGGGAACTCACTATTTAGCCCAGGCTGGCCTGGAATTCACAGGGATCCTCCTGTTTCTGTCTTCCAAGTGGTGGATTAAGGTGTGTGCCCCCACTGCCCGGCCTGAGCCCGCCCTAGGTAGCACTAAACGCCTATCTAACCGGGAGGGACATCCAGCACAGATAAGTGAGCTGTCTCCTAATTTCTCTTGGGCCATCAGAGCAGCAGCAGAGGCCTCAGTTTCCACCTTCAAAGTGCTTTAAATCGACTCGAGGAGGACTCGGTTCGTTAAGACTCCCGTGTTCAGGAGTGCTGAATTGTTGACCGAGTGCTAAAGGTGGTGACACCCTGTCCCCGACGAACTATCCAGGCCTCCTCCACTGAACACAAGGGTAAAGGAGGCAACATGGAGGCCAGGGACTCAAGCGCCTCGGGCAAAAATCGTTAACCTTTGTGATTGCAAAAGGAAGTCAGCAGGCGGCCGTGCTCTGGGCGGCAGCGGTGGTGACGCGTCAGGAGGGGGAAACGGAGCCAGCTCCGGGGAGCCTCGCTCCAGGAAGCCCTCCAGCGCCCATCAGCCTCGGAGAGGAGGGACGCGAAGCCCGGCCACAGACCTAGCACGGCTCGAGAAGATGGCGTGGGCCGGGGCCGCCCGCCTGAACTCGCGGGCGGGCGCCGTCCCCGAGCGCTCG